AAAGTGCTGGGATTACAGGCGTGAGCCACCACACCCCCACCTATTCCCAAGCATTTCAAAGGGATACTCACCTGTGTATGTGATACCAGAATTTAATCAGTTATTGAGAGTATTTATCTTAGATGCCCATGCATCTAAGTAATGTGATATTTGACATCACTTGATGGTGTGTGTTTATAAACCTGGGATGCATGAGACTTTATTTCTTCCTGAGCCCTTTGTGAGACCAATCACCAAGTATAGTCAAAACAGTTGAGCATCTCAAAGCAGTATGAACTGAATTAAAATGTGTTTTGTTCTGGTCATGTGTTTTTCAGTTTTGATTTTGAATGAACAAATGTTTTTATTCCTTTAAAAAAGCTTTAATGTTTTCCTGGCCAGTCTAAGTAAATTACTAAGATGTAATTTTAATATCATTTTGAAAATATGTATTAAGGTATCTGATGTTTTAAATAATAAAATTTGGGTTACTGTTTCATATGAGAAAAATGACACTGTGGACCTTTGGTGTATATTTTTGTTTCTCTGGTAGGCTCTTTCAAGTGAGTCATTTGAGAGACTTCCAGTTTTTAATAAGTCCGCATGGCGCCATTACAAGACCACTCCTGAAGCTGACGATTGGAGCAATCCCAGCAGTGAACCCAGGGATGCTTCAAAATACAAAGCAAAACAGTAATGTACCATCTTGATTTTCTATTACAAAGTATCTGATTTGTCCGAATGAAGGTGTTCCACTTACTATTCCAGGAATTCTTGCACTGTAGAGATATTCACAGCAGCGAGCAGGGGTTTGGCCTGCCATGAATTTTATTTAAAAAGCAATTAAGTTTGCAGTTTGTCATCATAAACATTGTAGGTTGAAACTGAAAAAATAAGTTAAAATGACTGATCAAGATAAAAGGTCATCTATCCATGCAATAGAATATTATTTGGCTTTAAAAAGGAAGGACATTCTGATGTATGCTACGGCATGGATGAACCTTGAAGTCATTTTGCTAATTGAAATAAGCCAGACATAAAAGTCCAAATACTATGATTCCACTTATTTGAGGTACCTAGAGTAGTCAAATGCAGAGGCACAAAGTTGAAGGAGGTTGCCAGGGGCTATCGAGGAAGAGGGAATGAGGAGTCATTGTTTCATGGGTATAGAGTTTCAGGTGGAAAGATGGAAAAAATTCTGGAGATGGATGGTAGTGATGGTTGTACAACAGTGTGAAAGTACTCAGTGCCACTGAACTGTACATGTAACAGTGGTTAAGATGTTAAGTTCTGGGCTGGGTGTGGTGGCTGATGCCTGTAATCCCAGCACTTTGGGAGGCTGAGGTGGGATAATCTCTTAAAGCCAGGAGTTTGAGACCAGCCTAGGCAACATAGTGAGACCCTGTCTCTACAAAAAATTTAAAAAGGTAAAATTAGCTGGGTGTGGTGGTATGTGTCTGTAGTCCTAGCTACTCAGGAGGACCACAGACACACACCACCCAAAGTGCTGGGAATACAGGCCTCAGCAGGAGGATCGCTTGAGCCCAGGACTTCCAGGCTGTAGTGAGCCATGATTCACACCACTGCACACCACCCTGGGGGACAGAACAAGACTGTGTCTCAAAAAAGAAAAAGATGGTAAGTTCTGTTATGTATAGCTTAGCATAATAAAAAATTTAAACATTGTAAAGGAAAAATTATAATTCACAGAACAAGTTTTATTGCTTTATGGTAGTAAGGAAAATAATCTATAGTTTTCTTCTGACTACCTACCCTTAAGCTTCAACTCTATTGGCAACAGTAAGGGTTCTGCTTTAACTTAAAATAATCATGTATTAACAGAAAAGCAATATATGTGCATTGTAAAAAATAAGAAAACATTGGCCGGGTGCAGTGGCTTACGCCTGTAATCCCAGCACTTTGGGAGGCTGAGGCAGGCGGGTCACCTGAGGTCAGGAGTTCGAGACCAGCCTAGCCAGTATGGTGAAACTGTCTCTACTAAAAATACAAAAATTAGCCGGGCGTGGTGGTGCACACCTGTAATCCCAGCTACTTGGGAAGCTGAGGCAGGAGAATCACTTGAACCCAGGAGGTGGAGGTTGCCGTGAGCCAAGAGAGTACATTGCACTCCAGCCTGGGTGATTGAGCTAGACTCCATCTCAAACAAAACAAAACAAAACAAAAAAAAAAAAAAGGAAAAGAAAGGAAAACATAAATAAGCCAAAAAAAGAAAGGAGAAACCTCTATCTTCCCAAAACCCAGAGATTGCCACTGCTATAGCTTTGTGTATGTTTTTCCATATATATATTTGTGTATATATGTATTTTTTTGCAAATGAGATTACACTATTCATACTGTTTTCCAACCTGCTTTTGTTTCATTTAACCATCCCATCTTTCCATGTCAATAATCTTTCATCTCATTAAAATTCACCTGATTTGTCTAAACTGAGATCTATTTCAGGACCATATAACACATCTGGGTAGTCTCAAGTTATTGTTGTTGTCTTTCAATTTAAAAATTCTTTTGTGGGTACATGAGATGATGTGATACAGGCATGCAATGTGAAATAAGCACATCACGGAGAATGGGGTAGCCATCCCCTCAATAATTTGTCCTTTGAGTTACAAATAATCCAATCCAGTTTTATTCTTTAAGTTATTTTAAAATATGCAATTAAGTTATTGTTGACTGTAGCTCCCTATTGTGCTATCAAATAGTAGGTCTTTTTCATTCTTTCTATTTTTTGTTGTTTGTGTTTTTGAGACAGAGTCTTGCTCTGTTGCCCAGGTTGGAATGCAATGGTGCAATCTCGGCTCACTGCAACCTCTGCCTCCCAGGTTCGAGTGGTTCTCTTGCATCAGCTTCCCAAGTAGCTAGGATTACAGGTGCCCGCCACTATGCCCAGCTAATTTTTTTTCGTATTTTTAGTAGAGATGGGGTTTCACCATGTTGACCAGGCTGATCTCAAACTCCTGATCTCATGATCTGCCCACCTTGGCCTCCCAAAGTGCTGGGATTACAGGCATGAGCCACTCTGCCCAGCCCTTTCTGTTTTTTTGTACCCATTAACAATTCCTACTTCCCCCCAACCCTCCCACAACTCTTCCCAGCCTCTGGTAACCATCCTTCTACTCTCTGTGACCATGACTTCAATTGTTTTGAATTTTAGATTCCACAAATAAGTGAGAACATGTGAGTTTGTGTTTCTGTGTCTGGCTTATTTTGCTTAGCATAATGACTTCTAGTTCTATCCATGTTGTTGCAAATGACTGGATTTCATTCTTTTTTATGGCTGAATAGTACTCCATTGTGTGTGTGTGTGTGTGTGTGTGTGTGTGTGTGTGT